TATGACTACAACGATGACCTCAAAGCTGCCGTGAATGGGTTTTTCAGGTTGGCTTCAGAAAACTTCTTCCTGACTGGTATTTAAGATCTTTACATGAATGGTGCTTGTTTTTTCAAGTCTGAAGCAGTGAAGACACAAGCATGATAAAATAAACTTCCTGTCCATACAGCGCCGAATAAGGCGTATTTATCTGCTACATACATGTATGAATGAACGCTAACTGTAATGAGTCATCATCAATAATGATTTACATCAGCTGTAACTTACAAATTTTCCCCTTCAACAGCAAAGAAAACCGGCATTATGCCCACCACGCAAGTACGGTTATCGCGCTTGCTCACAAAGAACCATAACTCTAATTGACTGTTAATTAATGACGTCGTGAATGTCAACATGCACGCAACACTGGTTCGAGTCGCACCCATACAACGCAACCAAAACATACTTTTCTTTTCCCTTTTTTCACATGTTTTACATGCATAACAAACATAAAAATATTCAACACCTCTAACATAAGAAAGTACTCCCTTAAGTACATGAAAATCAACACAGCAGCCCATACAAAGTAAATACGTGTACATTAATGTTGTAAGTGCAACAACGTCCGTGTGTAAAGAATCGAGTCTGAACCAGACAAACAAGTGGTTAATATCATGAGCAACGCCCCACCTCGTCGGGGTATAACGACAAGCATTCAACCAAGTCACAGAGGCTGACTCCCGATCGAAATAGTTACGGCTAGCATCGGTTGCTGAAAAGGGGATATATTCTTATAAGTGACTTGGCTTTATAAGTGACTTGGCCCCACATGAATCTGGGACCCGTGAAGACCCGGGGTAGAACAGGCCTTCAGCAACCCATGCTTGCCGTAAAATGCGACTATGCTTGTCGTAAGTGGCGACTAATGGGATCGGGCGGTCAGGATCGCTGACTTGGTTGATGCATGTCATCGATCCCAATTGCGTGGATCGATGCTCATGATATCAATCACTGGATTGTCTGGTCCAGACCCGATTATTTACAGACCATATAGCTGGAATATTACTAAGTGCGGCGTTTAACAACAAACCAATGCAACCAAACAAACGTGAACCTGGTTTCATACATTCACTCTCACTGGTGAATGACCAGGAAGCTATTTGGCTAAATAAATCGTTTCGTGGGAAAGTTTATCGCGAAGGGTTTGAATCTCTAAATATAATGATTTCCTGTTTGCTCAAGCAAACAAATACCATAAGAATCAGTCATATATTGTATGAAGCCTAACTCGCACGTTAAAGTGAGGAAGGGAAATAGAACAAAAATACAGTTACTGTGTGTGTATGATGCATTCTGTTCAGTATTGATGTCACTGGACACTGTAACGTCTGTTCAGTGTCAAAACACACTCCTTCATTTGAATACAAATGGAAGGCAAGTAATGTGTATTGATGACCACTTCTTTAAAATGCAATCAAAGAAGTGGCTGTCACCGGGTCGTAAAACCAGTCTTGTCACCGTCACCTTCTCCCTTAATTGTCGGGCTTCCGTCACCACCGGCGGACGTCGTTGTCCAGTGGCTTCACGTTCATTGCTGGAGAATTGGAGACCCGTAATTTTTATTCTCTAGCTGTATAAGCTATGAAAACGAAAAAAGAGTATTCAGTCTGTTCCCCTAGTAGAATGAACAAATAACTTAGCAAAAATGTTGGAAATAACTATGTCCGAAATAATGGTACGCGTATGAGTGAAAATATTAATTAAAAGGTTACTCAAAAGAATAACAACATAGTAATATTTTAATGTCAAATGATGCCTTGTAGTACCACATAATTATTGTAAAGGTTTGCATCTTGCCACTACATGATATTAATTTATGTGGACTGGCTTCGTACACCTTTGTCTTTACTGCTGGACCCGTGAAGATCCGGGTTAGAATAGGTTTTCAGCAATCCATGCTTGCCGTAAAAGGCGACTATGCTTGTCGTAAAAGGCGACTAACGAGATCGGGTTGTCAGGCTCGCTGACTTGGTTAATGGAGGTCATCGATCCCTATTGTGCTCATGATATCAAACACTGGATTTTCTCGTCCAGACTCGATTATTTACAGACTGCCGTCATATAGCTGGAATATTAAACCAACCAAACTTAAACCCCCACACAAGCAGTAACACACAATGATATAGATAGTTTTGACTAAGGAGATCGGGTGGTCAGGCTCGTTGACTTGGTTGATGCATGTCATCGATCCCAATTGCGTGGGTCGATGCTAATGATATCAATCACTGGATTGTCTGGTCCAGACTTGATTATTTTTACAGACCGCCGCCATATAGCTGGAATATTGCTGAGTGAGGCGTAAAACAACAAACCAAACCAAACCAATCTTTACTACTGTACTAGAAACCCAGGCGGTGGTGTACGAAGAAGTCAAACGTGATGCAATCAATGGTCGAGGGGATATTGGAGAGTGCGTGTCGATATGTCAATGTACGCATATTAAAAAAACAACACAACTGAATTATTTTGCGATATGTTTAAACAAAGAGTGCGACTACCAAACGCAAAAATTATTTGCAATCATCTGGCACGTTGTATGTTAAGTGTACAACCCATCTGTGGTTAGTGTCCAATCCCCGCTTCTGTCGTTGCTTAAGTAATCTCCCCGAAGACACCTGATTTTCAGTGATACATGCATTAAATTGTCATCACTATTTTGCCTTTCGCCAGATAATCAATTATTGTCTGGCATTGACTTTGTAGTTTTACATTCCTACTGTTGCTGTTAACTTTTGGTTGGTTCGTTGGCTGATCGGTTTGTTGTTGAACGCCACATTCAGCAAAATTCCAGCTATATGACGGCGGTCTGTAAATAATTGAGTCTGGACCAGACAATCCAGTGATTGATATCATGCACATCGATCATCGCAACTGGGATACGATGAGATGCATCAACCAAGTCAGCGAGCCTTCTCACCTGATCCCGTTTGTCGCCTCTTACAAGTATGGGTTGCTCAAGAACAATTCTAACCCGGTTCTTCAGGGGTCAGATGAGAAAGCACTACCCAGTAAGTCGGTCATAACGACACAATGTAAACATGAAAAAAGGGTTACGTCTTATACTACGACTATGTTTTGTTTTTGTTTTTTGTTGTTTAACGCCGCACTCAGCATTATTCCAGCTATATATGGGGCACGGGTGGCCCAGTCGTCTAAGGCGCCGCGATTCGCTGTGCAGAGTTGCGTCCCTTGGGCAAGCCAGAAACCTATGGTTGTGGGTTCGAATCCCGGTTCGCCCCGATTATGTTTCTAGGTTTGTCAGCACCATACCCGTGCTCGTGGGTTTCATCGAAGTGGTAAACGTCTGAGACCTGCATCACTTCGGGCTTTCCTCCGACATTAAGCTGACACGCCGTGATATTACTGGAATACTGTTAAAAGCGGCGTTAAACCCAACTCACTCACTCACTCACTACTCCAGCTATATGACGGCGGTATGTATGTAAATAGTCGAGCCTGGACCAGACAATCCAGTGATTGATATCACGAACATCGATCCACGCAATTGGGATGACATGCATCAACCAAGTCAGCGAGCCTGACCACCTGATCCCTCTTAGTCGCCTTTAAGACAAGTGTAGTCACCTTTTACGGTTGCTGAAGACTAATTCTACCCCGGATCTTCACGGGTCTACCAAATAGTGTATCGTGTGGTGATGGACTGTAAGATGCCACATTTGTGTATGTGTATTTTCTGTTTTAACAGACTGAGGTAACCAAGATTTTGGAGTAGTCTACACTTTCTAGTATACAAATACAATGTAGATGATGTAATGAATAAGCTGGAAATGTCACGGAATATAATATATTTCTAAATGCACAATAACAGTTACAAACATGTATGTGAAAAGCCATATGGTATGTTGTCGGAGATCGATGCTAAATATAGTGTCCAAATAATGGCATTTCTTTAAGATGTTTATAATAGAAACCTTTGGGACTCTACAATATTGAACATCTCCAGGATTGTAGAAAATGATTGGTCAATATTCATTCCACAGACGAGACTAGCCACTTGGTGTTGAAATTACATGGCATATTATATACTTGGGTCAGGCCACAGGAGCTTAATAAACATTCTAAATCCAAGCTTGGTAAAATGGCTGTTTGCAGATCATCGTGATCCTATGGCGACGGCAGTTGGACCTGCTTTAAGTTGGATTTTGTTTGCCTGACCTAGATTTGTTTCTTGACAGGCCGCTGTGGTATCCCTGGCTGCGATGAACATTCACCCACTCGACCACATTGAGTCAAAAAACATTCATATGATGTGTCACACTTGTAACAACCCTACAAATCGCCAGTTTGAACCCGAAACACACATGGTACGTCCTGGATGGTGTCATAGAGCCGCCTAGGCTGCCATATTGGAAACCGTGTTTGTGGCAGTAATCAGCCATTTGTGTACAGAACTAGTTGAACTTTTGTATCACTGATCCTTCAACATACATTCTAAGATGTGTAACAATCACCTCCTCAGAAAAAATAGGACCGATGAAGATGATACTTAATGTTTGTTCCAACCAAAAATCTGTTCAAGAGGCTCCAATGCGATTTTCAATATGGCCGCCATGTTTGCTGTATTGAAAAATCTGTTCTTGGCCAGGCTCAGCAATATTCACTCTTGTAAGCTTAAAAAATGAAATAAGGTTCTCGTGTAGTTAATTAACAGTGGGACCCAACACGTATGTTCTGGATTTTGAGGCATTTTAAATTTAGACATTGATTTGCCCTTGTCTTTTGACATATAACTCATATTCCCTCAAAATTTATTTTCATGTCAGGAAAAATTATCTCTTCAAAGCTTAACGTTGGCATTGATGTTTCAACTGAAGTTTCGGGGTTATTTTGTTGGTATCATGATGACTATACTCCTTTATTTTTGTTAATAATGATTATATTAAAAACAATATTTCGCAAAATATTCAAACATTTTATTTTGAAGAACAACAAGACTTAGAGAACTGAAATTTTGTATTCAATGGCTGTAAGAAGATTCAATATAACATGAAAGTTGTGTATTTTGTTTTGTTTTCTATTGCAACAAATGTCGAAACCAAGGCTTCATATGACCGTTTGGACCATGTTTTATTCATTCGGACACCAGTTACAATGGACTAGCGCAAACAGAACGGACCATCTCTCTGGTATAGAAGGGGCACTGGTAGTCAAAACAGATAACTGATTAACCTCATTTCGTACAGACATATCCGAACAAAGTGCGGACCATCGTATTCAAGATTTGTTCACTAGGATGAACGCCAGTACTCTCAACAGAAATGAGCATGTCCCAAAGATCGAGGTATATAACGTTGTCATAAAGGTCAACAAATTCTTGTCTGATAATTTTGTCATATACAGGCCCCCACATTCTACCAAACGTAGTGACTACTCTATCTACAACAAAATAGTGCGGTCCCTTCATTACAATTTTTACATCAGGCGATCGTATCAGTAATCGTTCTATTGCTTGCCTAATGCGCTTCACTTGAGACCTAAATATGTGTACAGGAAAGAAGTGGAAATGAGCATACAGATTAATAAGAACGATGTCTCTAGAAACAGAAGGAATCTCATCGAGATGAACAAAGGATGGTCGAATTGCAGTCCTATTGGCATTGACAAATGTCATTGGAAGACCATGGGGGGACCAAAAGACGGTATAGTTAAAACCTTTTTTGTATGCCTCGGAATAGGAATACCATTTGTCTGTAGGTACAAAGTTCGCTGCGGTTTGCCATGGTCCAATTCTCCAAGTTAGATTTAGATGTTTGATCAAGAAACTGAATAACTGTCTTACAGTGGAATCACCAAACATTCTAAGAGTCCTGTTGGCTAGACAGCGGTCATAGTCTTTGACAGTTATATTATTAATACATGACAAGGGGTTCCACGTGAAGTTGTAAAAGAAACCAACAGGTTTTGACAGCCAGGTTGTCTTGAAGGTTGTCCTGGTGCAAGGGATCTGTGAAGTCATACTTGTGTTTGTTGCTGGAACAATAAAAAATAAGATAAACATGTGCGATAAAAAGTAACGAGTCCATTGTCACAAGAGAAACAGCCATACATTGTATCTATTTGTCTTCATGGCCTCCATAATGTTGTCAAACATTAGCAGCAGAAAATCTACTCAAAACTTACATTTTTTATTAATTAGTTTCACCAAAATCAGTAAATGCACTAGCATGTCACTAGCTTTTCTGTTCAATCGATCACTGGTTTGTCTGGTTTGTTTGAAGGGCGAAATCGAATGAAAGGAGCGCCAGTCAATAAATACTTACCTTTTGATGCAAATTGTGCAAATCTTTACAAACACCTGGTGTCATCATTGATTTTGAGTCCATGCATATAAATTTCACAGTTATTTTACCCTTTCCACCTAATGGAATTTGTTTCGTCGGAAAATCAAGCCAGATTATTCTCTTGCGTTGACGTTTTACATTCAAATGTGAATTATCTTCCAATAGCGACACAGCTCTGTAGTTCATCTGATCCTGATCATTGATTAATCCTGACGCATGTCAGTCCCAGTCAGGTAGATTATTATTATTTATCGTTCCGTGGCCCATACATTGTATTTACACGCCTCTTATATGAGATTCGCTACCATTTAATTGCGTGCTATTGGTGGTTATAGTTCATGGTTTCGGCATCATTTCAGAACTATACGCCATGTTGGATCAGCCTGCATTGCCCAGCGGTAAAGAGAAATATTGGAATCAGTTTGAGTTTGCGGATATGAAAGACAGTGTTTGGGCTGAAGGACGAGTTTTGACCCTTTGTTACCCTTGAACCTTATGGAATGATATGAACACAGTTTTGTTGAAACGGCTGACTAATAGATTTATTTTCTTTCTTACACATTTCAATATTTGGACTTTTTGCATGATCAAGTATGTAAAAATGGCTAAAAATACTGAAAAGAGCAAAGGGTTGTGAATAAACGCTTCTAGAAAACCTCTGAAATCAGCTTTTTGGGAAACATTTTAGCCTTACCTATATATATTATGATGTGATATGTCGTTATGAAAGTCTTTCCATAAAATATCTCCCGCTCTTATTGATATCTATAACGTTCAGAAACGATGTTAATATGTTCTGCTCATGCCACAAATTTAGCAGTTCCTGTGGGCTCCAAGAGGGCCTTTATAAAGGTGAGTTGAGATGAAATGGGGTTTACCGTCGCGTTCAAGATTATTGCACTTATATAGCGGCGTGATGAAAGAACATTGGGCGTTCTGCCCCAGGCTCGCACCCATTGACCCCAAGCACGGAGGTATCTGAATGACGTCACGCTAAAAATAGCTTACCAGCGTAGTACATTAGAGGTTGTGTTGCAATCTGGGAAAACCCTGGCTTAAGATAGACCAACGGTTACACATTCAAATGAGGAAAGGTGTACATATGTATTAAGGTTGATGTAGTATGTTATGTGAACAATTTATGTGGTATGTTTTAAAACTTTTTTCTTGGGAAATGTATTTACCTACGGGCGTCAGATGGTGTGGGATTCATTAATTCACCTTTAGCGAGGTGGACACACGCTATGTAAGCTGTTTTAAAAAAAATATATATTCATATTTATGTTATGAAGACGCCTTGTCATAAAACTACTAGCATATCTAAAGTAAATGTGATAGTTTACATACAAACTGCTACGTAGTTGAAATATTGTAAAAAAGTGTATCTATAGTGTTTTCATGCTGAGAGAAACTGCTTTGTTGATATGGTGACTCATCAGAGTGGTATGCGGGACGCTGCCCTTACATCTGTTCACCGTCTGTAGTGACCTATAGAAGAGCTGTGTAGTGATCCGTTGAAGTGTGTTTAAACAAGCTCAGACATGTCAGGGGTCTTTCAGTCGCGTCTATGATGTAGGGGTGATTCATTCATAAAACACGCCAGAGGTTCAGTCTAAGGATGTATAGTGGCCACACCCATCAACCCTCGCATGTATGCAATGGAAAATGTCATATGTGTGCATGGAAACGTTTATCATCTGCACACAATGAACTCATCCTTTTCTAACCTTTATAAACGGGACCGCCTCCGTGGTCTTGTGGTAGAGCGTCCGCCCGGAGAGCGGAAGGTCCAGGGTTCGATCCCGGGCCGCGTCATACAAAAAGACGTTAAAAGATTGTACTTGTTGTTACCCTGTCTGGCGCTCGGCATTAAGGGGCTAAAACAAGGACTGGTCGGCTCGGAGTCAGTATACTGTGTCTGAGTGGGGTATTCATGTTAAACTGCGGCATGGTATCTCAGTGAGCTAGCACTATAAATCGGCATCAGTCCGGACTAGTACAAGCAGCCACACACACACATACACGTGCATGCACGTCGCTATATAAGTGCAATAATCTTGGACGTGACGTTAAACCCAATTTCACCTCACCTCACCTTTATAAACGGAAGAGCGGCATTGAAATTTCATATTATTGTCTGCCAGTAACCGAGACGGACGTTTGCCAGTACGCTATCATCTTTAGCCTTGACTCACGTACAGTTCGCGGTTTGTGTTTACAAAGGTAACTGAATGCAATTCAAGCACATACACCTTGCTTTCAAAGCTATATCTTAGACGGTGTCATATTGTTAAATAATGAAGATGAAGTATTTTGTGGGTGAGATAACAAAATATAATGATACATTACTGGTATAATTTGCAACCGAGACCACAACATCGAACTTACTATGCATTTATCAAGTAGAAAGCCTGTTGTTAATTTTAAGAACTTCTACAGGTAATTTTTTTTTTTTTTTTTTTGTAGAATTGAATCGAAACAAAACTTTCTGAACAGTGTGAAGACACTGTCTGAGTTGGAAACTTGGGCCACTGCTAACAATTGTGTAGATGATTCAGAAGTCAATCTCAAACGAATTGAATTGTTAACATCCAGAGTGAATGCACAATCTGTATCTACACCAGTGTCGTCCATAGGTAACATTTGTCACATCTGCCAGAAGTCGTTTAAGCAGCGTTTGCTTAGACATATTCGTACTGTTCACGGCAATGAAAAAATCACCTGTAAAGATTGTAAACACTCCTTCACCAGACGGGATAACTTGGAAAATCACCGCTGTAACCTTAAACGGGAGTCAACACAGACTTGCCCCGAACCGAAACGTCCCTGCTTACAACCACTGTCACCTGATAATACTCCACCGGCTCGAGTAGCAACCTGTAACTGGTGTGGTCACACCAAGTGTTTATTACCCGGCAAGCTCTTCTGTCAACAATGCTCGACAAGAGGTCGGGAATGGCTCAATTGTCGGCGACCTCTCCCTGAGCGGTTTTACAGCCAGCAAGTGGATCAATGTGACAGCTGCGTGAGACGTCGGGAGCGGTACCAGGTCAGGCGAAACCAGATTGGGGGAGGTCAGAGGTCAGCACTTGAGGGCAGTGTGTCAACTATAACACTGACTCCCACAGATGTAAACAGCGTTGACATCCTTCAGTTTTTAGCTGATGAACAGGTTAACATTGAATCAATCTCACATGATTATTTGTCAAGTAAAAAAGGTATGAAATGGTTTCTGACGTTAAAACTCAAATTTATAAAATACGACGAAAACAATGAAAGTATATTAGCAGAGCCCATTCTGAGAACTATCAACTTTTGGTCCACAAACGTTTCTGAAATTGAGCAACAGTTAGCAGAGGCTTATCAGAAATTATATACATCATCACAGGAATTTCAGGCTGAAGGGAGTGGGTGGGTGCTAGACCATATTATTCATGTTGAAGTGAACACAGCTGAGTATGCACCCCTGGCCGCAAGTTCTTACATTCCTCTACCTGATTACCTGGTTGACAAGAAAGCCATTTTGAACATAAAGAATGATGATCAAAAGTGTTTCATATGGTCCATACTAGCTGCCCTGCATCCAGTAGATAGAAAAAATCATCCTGAAAGAGTTAAAAAATATAAAGTATAAACATGAACTTGACTTCAAAGGCATTGATATACCTGTATCCCTCTCCCAAATTTCAAAATGTGAAACGCAAAATGACATTTCTGTCAATGTATTCGGTTATGAAGAAGATGATGGCGTGTTCCCTTTACATAAAAGTTCAAATAGTTTCAATCCAGCAGTAGATTTGTTGCTTCTAAGTCAGGAAGATAAAAGACACTTTTGTCTAATTCGAAGCTTTAGTCGACTGATGGGAGACAGGACCAAACATCATGGTACCACATATTATTGTAAACGATGCCTCCATGGGTTTACTAGGTCAGATTTATTGAAAGATCATAGTCTTCACTGTTCCACTCACTCTATTCAGAAAATTAAGTTACCTCAAAGTGAGAAACAAACATGGGTGAAGTTTAAAAGTATTTGCAAACAGCTGCGTGTACCCTATGCCATTTACTGCGACTTTGAAGCAATAACACGAAAAGTGAGTGGTTGTCAGTCTAGTCCTAACTCCTCTTATACTTCAGTCTTTCAGAAACATGAACCTTCTGGTTTCTGCTATAAGGTAGTTTGTTTAAAACCTACTGGTACAAAACCTGCAGTGACCTATAGAGGCCCTGTAGTCATTTCGCATTTTATTGAATGCTTGTTGGATGAAGCACATCTCATCTATGAAAAGCTTAAAGTTCCTGAAACTGCCACGACCATTTAGAAGAGGGGTATAACTATCGAGGGGTTGCCCATCAAAAATGTAATCTGCAATTTCAGTTTAGAAAGGTGAAAGGTAAACATAGTTTTCCAAGGGAAGAGTTCTTTATCCCTGTGATCTTTCACAACCTCCGTGGCTACGATAGCCAACGATTATGAAACAACTGAATAAGACTGTCAAAGAAAACCTTGACTGCTTGGCCAACAACATGGAAAAATACATTTCCTTTTCTATTGGTAACCTCAGGTTCATTGATTCTTTACAGTTTCTCAATGCATCTCTAGATACCTTGGTGGAAAACTTGGCTGATGAAGGTTCTGACAAATTTGTGAATTTAAGACAGGAATATCCCGATGAAACACAATTGAAG